AAAAAAAATTTAGTGCCGTTTTAGCAGAAGATTTTCCGGTTAGTTAATTTGTACCGTATAAGTTTTGCTACGTGTTAAGTTAGAAAACCTCTCCAAGGCTTCTAAAACTAGAAAAACCGTCGAATTTCGACAGTAACCGGCACTCTAGTACACATAAATATGCAGATANAAAAAAAATTTAGTGCCGTTTTAGCAGAAGATTTTCCGGTTAGTTAATTTGTACCGTATAAGTTTTGCTACGTGTTAAGTTAGAAAACCTCTCCAAGGCTTCTAAAACTAGAAAAACTGTCGAATTTCGACAGTAAGCGGCACTCTAGTACACATAAATATGCAGATAAAAACTTGTATACATAAATATGTAGTATGTAAACTTAACTAAATATGCATAAATATTATCTTTTTCAGATTCTTCCGGAAGGCCAAGTGCTCTTAAAATAATAACATTCCTATTAATAGGAGCAGCTTTCTTAATAACAAGTGCCGCAATTAAACAGGCTTATTATGATTAAATTTCATATATGTAGTTAGTTGCATTTTGGGTAAATTAAGAGCGCAAATTATTTCGCAAGCCGAAGGAAAAACTTACATACTCGTGTATATAAACATACATNAAAATAATAACATTCCTATTAATAGGAGCAGCTTTCTTAATAACAAGTGCCGCAATTAAACAGGCTTATTATGATTAAATTTCATATATGTAGTTGCATTTTGGGTAAATTAAGAGCGCAAATTATTTCGCAAGCCGAAGGAAAAACTTACATACTCGTGTATATAAACATACATACATACAAGCAGCATAGCATCATGAAATTAATTAAAAGAATTGCTTTGTGCGAAAATTCAACGCCAGCTTTAAATCTCACAATTCTGTTGAAGTAACACAAACATACGCAAAAAGTATTAGCTGAGTGAAAGAAGCAGTAAAAAGAGTAAAAATAAATTATAAAAAAATACTACAACAGTTCCAAAAGCAATACTTTAATCAGCGTGAACGAAATTATAAAAATTTGCAATAACTCGTTAACTTACATATATTTAATTACTTTTTAACGAATATATTAAGAAAAGCAATCATGTAAATTAGAGAATGCAATTTTCAATTTTAAGTAACTTAAGGTCTTTTGCGTGCCTGTGCACATACTTGCATACATACATACACATGTGAATGCATGACTATGAAATATTTAACAAACTTGTTTTAGTCTAAGATTATAGTCAATAAATCTTTTGAACTTATTGCCAAAAACTAAGTATTCAATTGAATTTTTATTTGGCTTTTTTTTTTTAAAGAAAGAGAAAGGGACCGTAGGTAAAGCTGGGTCGTAATGATTCCTTTAGGAATTGAATTACTCTGAATTACAAATTACAAGGAATTGTAATTAGTAATCAATTCCTTTAATTTAAAAAGGATTTTTTGTTTCTAGTTAACTCAAAACTCGGAACTTAACATTGGATTGAATATTATGGATCTGTATACCGTTTAACCAAATCAGGTCAATTACACAAAATATTTTCATTTTTATGAAAAAAGTTCTAAAAGCTCAGTTATGCAAGACTCAGACTTGACTTCACTTGAAAATTGTATATCT